ACATTAGCAGAGCTTAATTCACCTGATTAAACCGAGTTCACTCATTGACCTTATAAGAGATCAAGATTCTGATGAAATGGGACATAGAGAGGCTAAGTCTCTGTGTAGGGCAGCTAGGTATCGCAGTGGATAGAGTGCCAGGTCTGGATTCAGAGACTCATCTTCCTGAGTTCAAATACAGCCTTAGACACTTACTAGATTCGTGACCCTGGGTAAGTCACTTAACTTTGTTTGCCTCAGTTCCTTATCTATAAAACGAGCTGGAGAAGGAAATGGTGGACCACTCCAGTATCTTTGCCAAGAAAACCCCAAACGGGGTTACAGAGAGTAGGACATGACTGAAAAATGATTCAACAACGAGCTCTAGGTGGAGAGAATGTCAGGAGGCCCTTCAGCAGGATGACAGGATTTAGAGCTAGAGGGAACTCCAGCAATCATTTAATCAAAATTTCCTCATTTCACAGATGAGGAATCTGAGACTCAGAGGGTTAAGTAACCTGGTTCATGGTCACACTAATAGTAAGTAGCAGTCAGGATTTGAACCCAGTCCTCTGATTTCAAACTTAGCACTTGCACTACCATACCATACCGAGTAGGTAAGAACCAGCTGGAGGGCACCAAATGCCCAGAATGGAGGAGTTAGGAGTGAAGAGGAGTTTTTAGTGGTGAATAGAGGAACCACCATCCTTTCTGATTTTACAAAGATTGGCCATGGTACTCTTCTTCCCCAGAAGGAAGAGACGTTGACCACAGAACTGAATTAACTGTCAGACATTTTATCCATGGTAGGTAGAGGGTGCTTTCTTCGGTCTGATGTTTGCCTAAGTGTGAATGGGGAGTAGAAGAAGGTCCTCTCTCTCTTTCTCTTGCTCTGTCTCTCTGTCTCTTTCTGTCTCTGTCCCTGTCTCTCTGTTTCTCTCTTTGTGTGTCTGTCTCTCTGCTTCATCTGTCTCTTTCTGCCTCTCTGTTTCATCTGTCTCTCTCTGTCTCTGTATTTCTCTGTCTCTGTGTCTCTCTCTCTCTTTCTCTCTCTCACAAGCAGGTCTACCTGCTACCTCAGGGGCCCCAGGATGCCAAGCCACTAAGGCAGTTTTCCCCATGAGTCTTAAGGCAAATGCACATTTATCCTCTGGAGAAATCATCCAATGAGCAGGGATTTGTTTCAATAAAAGGAGATTGGGGTGCCGGTCAGATTTATATGAGGGAGGTTCCTTGATGGAAGATATCTACAGAAGACGAGACTGGACTTCTTGTCTCTGCCACACCTAATAATAATAATCTTATTGTTCTGCACCTGTGATTTCACTGCAATAAGGAACAGAGAGTTCTCTCTGCCAATAGTGGAAACTCCCTCCACTTTTGGAGATTAACTCATCTCTAACTTGAAATCTTCTAGCACCAAAAACCGTAGCAATTTGCCTGTAATCCCAGAGCTAGGAAATGTCTCACTGATAGCAAGTAACAGCATTTCACAATGATGTAACTAACTTGATGGCTTGCAAAGTACAACACTGCTGTGAAGTGAGTAGTGTTAATATTATCCCCATTTCCCGCATAAGGAAACAGGTCTAGTAAATGATCAAATCAAACCCAGGTCTTCAAAGTCCGTCGCTCTCTCTCTCCTGTCCCATGCTTCCTCCAAGGTTTGAGGGGCTATCTGGAATTATAGTTGGCTGAATCAGCAGCCAGGGCCCTTAAACAGAGACTTCCTGCTGAGATGGCTGTTTGCTTGGGGGAGGTGCCTGGAACAAGCCTCCTATGACTGGGTCACCCTTAAGTGTTTCTGCCCCAAGTTTTGGGACCTATTCTTCTTCTCTGAAGAGAAGTATTTCATAGGCACCAAATTTTCTACTATCAAGATCCCCTCCTGTGCCCCAGATCTAGCCTGGACATGCCTGCCACCCACACTAAGCAAGGTTTCAGGGACCTCTCAGAGCTAAGTCATTGATCTTCCTGTCTTCCCATCTCCCTGTCCCCCCTTTTTTATTGGACACATTTTCAAAAAATAATTACTCATCCACTGGAGGCAGACAAGGTAAAGACTTGTAAAGTGCCTAGGAAAAGCTCAAAATTACCCCAACCTCAATCCCCTTTCTTCATCAGTATCACACTTCCTGACTAAATTGACCCACTGAACCAGGAAGTCCCTCTTACTTTGAATCCATCTCTTAGGTTGAATCTCCTATGCATATGAAATGTCCTATCTTAGCCAGGCCCAAAGGACACAGATTTAGAACAGTAAGGGATCTCAGAAGCCATCTTGTCCAACCCTCTCATATCACAGATATGGAGACTGAGGCCCAGAAAAGTTAAGTGACTTTTCCAAAGTCAACAGGTAGTAAATGGTAGAACTGAGTTTTGAACCTAGGCTACAAATCTAGAGATCTTTCCTCTGGACTAGATTTCAACTCATTGGGAATTACTCAGGAAGATAAAGTAATAGGTCTCATAAAATCCTGTAAATCCCTTAGAGTTTAAAGGGACTTTAGCTACCACCTAACCAATCTTTCATTTGGTGAAAGAGAAAACTGAGGTTGGAAAAGTTTAAGTGATTTGGCCAAGGTCACAGAGTGTCAGTACAGACTGGAGACTAAAACCCAGGTCAATCAATCCAAAAGTATTTATTAATTGACCACCATGTGCCACTGTTCCAGGCGCTGGGGATTCAAAGACAAGATGAAACTTTCCTTGTTTTCATTTTGTTGGGAAAGAGAATGTACAATACTCATAAATATAGACTGAATAAATACCAGGCAGCTAGTGTGGAGTGAGGAAATTATCTTTAAATCAGGCCTCAGACATTGCTAGCTATGTGACCCTTAACCTCTATTTGTCTCAATTTCCTCATCTATAAAATGGGGGTAATAATAGGACCTACCTCCCAGAGTTGTGATGAGGATCAAATGAGATCATTGTAAAGTGCTTAGCATAGTGCATGGCACATAATCACTATATAAATGTTAGATATTAAAATAAATACAAAGTAATTTAGGGAGAAGGGAATCAGCCTTCAGAGGGAATGGAGAAATATTTAAGGGATAGCTAGGTGGTGCACCAGCCTTGGAGTCAAGAGGACCAGAATTCAAATCAGGCCACAGAAGCTTACTGTGTGACCGTAGGCAAATCACTTAACCCCAATTGCCTTCCAAAAAAAAGAGAGAGAGAGAGAGAAAAGAAAGAAAGAAAAGAGAGAGATAACAAGTATGAGGCAGTGTTTGATCTGAGTCTTTAAGAAAATACAAGCCTCTTTGAGGTGGAGATGAAGGAAAGCATTCCAGGCATGGGAGACAGCCAGTATGCAGGCACAGAGATCAGAAATACGGTGCTGTGTGAGGAACCGTAAGGCCAGTTTGATTAGCCCACCAAGTATGGGAAGGGGAATAATATGAGCCCCGAAAGGTAGACTGAGGCCAGGTTTTGAAGAGTTTCTATTTTATCCTGACTCAGGTCTCCTGACTCCTACCTAGCCCGTCTATTCCCTGCCCCATGATCTCTGTCCTCAGTGTAAAGTCCAGGCATACTAAAAAGCATAAAGAGTGAATTGGAAAACTGAGCAGTCAACAGCTTCCGAATCCCAGAGTTTGTCTTCTAGCCTTGATTATAATTAGTTACCAGAACAACTGCTGAACAATAGGGAAAGGACACTGATTTCTACCTAATGTTCACAGCCAGTAGGCTTTCTTCCAAAGCCTCTTTTCCTTCTCCCTCTTCTGTGGGCAGATCTGTCCTCTGTGGGAGGGTAACCCCAGGATCAATTCTGGGGCCTGGGGGCCTGGGAATCAAGACATATGGGTTCTTGGTCCCAGCTTCGCTGCTAACTCCTTGCATGGGCTTTTCAACTTCCTCATTTGTGAAACCAGGGGGTTGGGTCAGGTGATCTCTCATCAAGCTCTGACGGTCTATGTTCTAAGGTCCCTTTAGCTCTGAGATTCTGTGTTCTGTGCCCCTAGATCTCTTTCTAAAGATCATTCCTCATTCTAAGGCCCCTTTGGATTCTAAAACTCTATGTTCTAAGGATTCGAACCTTCTGGGCTTCTGTAAAAGATGCAAAGAGTACTCTCTGTATCTCCAAAAGGCAGCAAACATTTATTAAACATTTACTACATGCTGGGCACTGTGTTAATCTCTGGGGATACAAACAAATACAAAGAATCTTTTCCTGAACCTGTGGCAGGCTTGAAGATGAGGACTCCGGAAAGATGTCAAGAAGTAAGGCAGGGAGAGGCAGAATTCTCTGACATCAGGCTCGTGGGAAAATGATCTGGTTTCTAGGGGGGTCCTAAATTCATATTCATAATATCTAGTCCTAGACCCTGTATATTCCAGTAAAGACAGGGAGTGGGAGAGCAGAAATAGGAAACCAGACAGAATCCAGGGAGGTGGAGAGGGAGAAACTCACAAGGACAAGTCTCATTGAAGAAACCTCTGCCTACCTCCTTACTTCCAAACCTGAGGGCAGAGATGGGAAGGGCTGTCTAAGTCACTCCACCCTCACTTTGAAACTGAGGCAAAATAGTCCTTTTTTTTTCAGGCAGAATATTCTTAACAAATAGAAAAACAGAAAAAAAATTGTTTGCTGTGCCTTTCTGAAACACACACACACACAAACACATACACATACACATCTCCCAAAGATCTAGCCTTCAAGACACATGCGCTCACAACCTCTTCCTTACCTTGGAGAGAAAAGATGCCGATGAGCCGGGGCAGGGGTCTACTGGATGCTCAGTCCTGGCCGAGCTTAACAGTTCATGGACTCTGAACAGTCAACATGAACCTCAGCCCAACCGGCTCTGGTGACTGAAGACAGAAGTTTTGAGTTCTCTCTCTGAAGTAATCTGACTTCCCTTTCCCTCCCCGAGAGAAGCAACCACTTCCTTGTGTGGGCGTTGGGGGATGCAGCCCCAGAGAGCCTACGGCTTGCCCTGCCTCGCCTCCCGCCCTCCCTTCCTCCTGCTCTCGCTCCCGCCTTCTTTCCCTCCCTCTCTCACTCCCTCCTTCCTTCTCTCCCTCCTACTGCTGTGAAGGGCTCTGCCAGGCTGCCTGCACCCTGACCCCTTCCCCTCCTGCTCTTGGAAACGCAGAGGGAAAGGTGTTTCACCCTTCAAGCGCCTCCGAGTCCTGTGACTCCGCGGGATGCTAAGAAGGCACATTTCAACCCAAAGCAGCCAGCAGCCCCACCCCACTCACTCACCGGAGTTAGAGCAGAGGGTTTTCCTGGGCAGCCTCTACCCAGAGTGAAATTTGGAGACAACCAGCTAGAACCCAAATGCCACGTCTGCCCCTCTCCACCCCCTCCCCCTGGAGAGTTTCATACCAGTGTGGACTTCACAACTTCAGAAGCCTGTGGTTTGTGGTACGGTTGGGGGATGGGGGGCATGGGGGGGAGGAGGAGGAGGATGTTAACAGCAATCAGGAGTCTTCTCATTCTTAATGCTCTCCCCCTCATCAAATACATTAACTTGTGGAACAGTAGATAGGGAGCTGGTCTCAAAGACCTGGGTTGAAATTCTGTTTCTGATACATATTGGATGTGTGATCCTGGGCAAGGCAAGTCACTTCTCTATAAGTTACAGAGAAGATATAAACTTGCAGAAGTAGAGGAAGTTTCCTGATCTGGGAGTTCCCTAGACTCTAAGTGTGATTCTTATTTGTCTATCTATAAATTGTCTCTCTGCAGGAGAATGTCTTTGAGGATACGGACTGTTTCCTTTTGGTCATGGTATCTCAAGTGCCTGCCTGGCACCCAGTAGATGCTGAAAGAAAAATGCTAAGTTGAACACCACAATAAGATTTAGAGCTGAAAGGACTCTTGCCAGGTAACCTACTTCACTTCTCCCCACCCCATCCCCATCATACACATCTGGAGACTGTGAAAGGAAGTGATTCACCCAAGGTCATAGCCAGTAAGCTTTAGAGCCAAGAATCAAACCTAGATCTTCTGACTAAAGGGAGTGAGGGAGAGAGGAAGATGAAAAGAGAGGGAGGGAGAAAGAAAGGCAGGGGAAGAGGGGAAGGAGGAGAGGAGTATAGAAGAATGGATGCTAAGTTTAGAGTCAGAGGACCTGGGTTCAAATCCTGACTCTGCTATTTTATACCTACATGATCCTTTTTATGCTTCAGTTTCCTTATCTGAAAAATGAAGGAGTTGGACTAAATAGCCTCTAACATTCTTTCTAGTTCAAAATCTCTGATCCTATGATAAGACTAGCAGAAGTGGAACCTGAAATTTCTGAACTGTGTAGTTTTCAGAAATAGTAAAATAATCATGGAATTTCAGGGCCTCTTAGACCTTACAAGATTATCTAGTCAGAGATTATCGGATCAAAGATTGGAAGGGACCTACACCATGTAGTCCAAAGCTATCCACCCTCAGGCTCCACTTTACAGAGAAGGAAACTAAAGCTCCAACAGTCTAAATGATATGTTTAAAATTGTATGAGTCAGTGTCAAACAAGAAGCTAAATCTTTTAACTTCTTAATGCTTCAAAATACATTAAAACAAGTCATTTTTTCTCCCACAGATTGGCCATAACAGGCAGAGATCAGGGTCTCCCTTGCCTTGCTTCTGGGGTACATCACAGGCAAAGAGATCAGGAGCTCAGCAGTTTGAGTAAAACCAAAGATAAGCAGTGAAACTGGCTCTTTAAACCAGTCTGACTCCCAAAATTCATCCAAGGCTTAATCCCTCACATTCCTGACCTGTTTACCACTTCTCACCGTATGCATAGCTGAGTTTTGAAGTGATTGCACGATTTTACCACCTCCTTGCTCTGGACTCAACCAGATTTCCTCCTTCTCAGGCCTGGTACACCCAGACCCTAGCTCCACACTCTCAGTTCACAGCTTCCTGTGGTTGCTTAGTGGCTCCTGAAGAACAAGGACCATTGGACAGACTGAGGGGTGGAGTAGGGCAAGGAAGGATAGTCCCATAAAGGAACCACTATCCCTTTCTTTCCATGAGGCTGGGATAAAAGGCCTCCTTTCCAACCAAGGTAAGCCACAGGGCCAAGGGCTTCACAGACTTGGAACTATTCCTAGGCTCAGGCTCTCCCAATACAGACCTACCAAACATGCTTTCCATTCTCCTACCCCAGTTCACAGTAACCATCCATGAGTGTGTGTGTGGGGGGTCCCCTTCACCAACTTTCATGCTTAGAATAAATGCATGGTGGAGCAGCTAGGTGGCGAATTAGATAGAGCACTGCCCCTAGAGTCAGGAGGACCTAAGTTCAAATCTAACCTCAGCTACTTACTAGCTGTGTGACCCTGGGCAAGTCACTTAACCCCTATTGCCTCAGAAAAAAAAAAGTATGATGAAAAATGCACAAAATTCACAAACTCAGTGTCATTCTCAACTCCCCAACTTCTTTCCTCACCTTATAGCCAATTTATTGCCAATCTTGTTGAGTCTACCTCCAAGTATTTATCCCATATATTCCCCTTATCTCCATGCACCTAGGTACTATTTTAGGCCCTTGTTTCCTATTTCCTGTGCTATCATAATCTTAATTGGCCTCTCAGTCTCAAATCTTTCCAATTCATGCTATTTTGCAGCTTCATGGACAGCGTGTTGGACTTGGAGTCAGGAAGACCCATGTTCAAATCTAGCTCAGACAATCACTAGCTGTGTGACTTTGGGCAAGTCTTTTAACCTCTCTGTGCCCCAGTTCCTTTATCTGTAAAAATCGGGGATTGTTCTACATGGCCTTTAATGTCACTTCCTGCTCTAAGTCTATGATCCTACAATTTTTCTGAAGAACAGGTCTGATCATGTTGCTCACTCACTCAGTAAACTCCAGTGGTTCCCTATTACTTCTGCTATAAATTCTGCTTGGACTATAAAACCCTTCACAAACTAGCTCCAGCCTACCTTGGTAGCCTTATTGCAAAATTGCTCCCCTTCACATACCCTACGGTCCTGTGAAACTAACCTTCTTCCTATTCTTCATCTGAGGCACCTGATCTTATCCTGAGGTCTAGCATGCATTTCCCTTCACATCTCCCTTTGAGAACCTCTAGTCTCATTTAAGACTCAGTTCAGGGGCAGCTAGGTGGCACAGTGGATAGAGCAGCGACCCTGAAGTCAGGAGGACTTGAGTTCAAATCCAGCCTCAGACCAAATACTTGACACTTGCTAGCTGTGTGACCCTGGGCAAGTCACTTAACCTCAATTGCCTAAAAAAAAAAAAACTCAGTTCAAACATCACCTTTCACCTGAGACAGTTCCTGGTCTCTCAGCTGCTAGTGACTTTTCCCTATCCTGATGTGTTTCGGTTATTTCATTGTGTCCAACCTTTGTGACCCCATTTGGGGTTTTCTTGGCAAAGATACTAGAGTGGTTTGCCATGTCCTTCTCCAGCTCATTTTACAGATGAGGAAACTGAGACCAACAGGGTGAATTGACTTGCCCAGGGTCACATAGCTAATAAGTGTCTAAGGCTAGATTTGAACTCAGGTCTTCCTGACTCTAGGCCTAGTGCCATCTAGCCACCCCATACTGCCTTCCTCCACCCTAGTCCCCCAAATCATTGTGTATCTATTTTGCTTATACCTGTACATGTACCTATTGTATCTCCAGATAACATGAACAAGAATTGTTTCAATGTTTTAATAGTAGTTGCTTGAGAAATGTTTGGGTGCTAGGTGGCACCATAATGCACAGAGTGCCCGGCCTGGAGTCGGGAAGACTCATTTTCCTGAGTTCAAATCCAGCCTCAGACACTAACTAGCTGTGTGACCCTGGGCAAGTCACTTCAGCCTGTTTGCCTCAGTTTCCTCATCTGTAAAATGAGCTGGAGAAGGACATGGCAAACCACTCCAGTATCTTTGCCAAGAAAACACCCAATGGGGATATGACAAGTCAGACACGCCTGAACAACACGACAAAAGAAATGATTGTGGAAGGAAGGAAGGAAGGTTGGAGGGAAGGAAGGAAGCATTTATTGAGTGCCTATCATGTGCTAAGAATTTTACAAATTTTGTCTGATTTGATCCTCACAGCAACTCTGGGAGGGAGGTGCTAGTATGAGTCCCCATTTTACAGTGAGGAAGCTGACGCAGATAGAGATTAAGCAACTTACCCAGAGTTAGACAGCTAGTGTCTGAGGTCAGATTTGAACTCAGGTCTTCCTGACCCCAGGCCCAGTACTCTATCCATTGTACCACTGACCCAGGAGGAAAAAGATCTGTGTTCTAATCCTGGCTCTATGACTAACTCATGGTGTGCTCTCAACTGAGCTGTGATTAGAAAATTTGGGGAAAGCTTCCCAAAATACTACAACAAATCACCTTTTTATGACAAATTCAGTAGGGTTAAATGAGGATGGAAATGCCCTATGACACAAGGTCCTACAGTGGGGGAGAACCCCTAGAAAACAAGGTACCCCCCACAGTGGGGAGGGGCAGTGGGATCAAGGGGAGACAGTCCCTGGACAGTTTGAGCCTGTTGTTAGGGAGAAAGGGAAAGGGGCCAGGATGGGAAGGAAATCTCAT